GGGGGAGAGGGGGCGGCAGTATCTGGATCTAATCAAACTGATGACAGGTCTGTTAGCTCAATGAGTTTTTTTAATCTGCTTAACTCGATTAAGGGTTGGTAAGGGTTGGCCATGAGCCATTTGACGATTGACGGTTATCTTCCGAAAACGACTAGCTCATTGCAATTGCCAATTTCCTCTCTCCTCATGGTGGAAATTGTAGACTGAAATGTTTCAACGTATAAATTGTGAACACCAGTTAGTACACCTTTTGCCCTTTACAGGTGCTGTTAAAACTATGTCAGGCGTGCACCTGCCGGTTTGATAAAGTAGAATTCCTTCATAATCAGAATGATCTAACTAACAGAGTATTTGATCTGTGGTTTAGCAGCTTCAGTTCACAGCTAAAGAACTCCTCAGAAATTTCAAGGTAAGGGCCTTGAAGTCTCCTTGAGTTACATGTTTTGTCACTTCCTTGGAATCTAAAAGTTAAGAGGCGGAATCAAGGACAAACAAAAAAGAGTTATTTTGCTCCTGTTGTATCGATGGTTTTCTCATTAGCATTATTTTTTTCTGTGACAGTTCTGTGCTTCATATTTGGATGTGTAACCCTGACAATCTTCAGGATAACATTGAAAAACCAATATTGATAGAATACTTCATGTTGTTAAAAACTGTACGTTACATTTATTAGTCTTAAAATTGGTGACATCATAAGTGATTTCGTTTGTTTATTACTTAACCAAACAGCATGTATGCAGCACGTGTTTTATCGCCCCATATATGGCGCTGTTCCACGTGCTTACAATGAGACGTGGTGTGTGTTTTCGTGAGAGTCGTGAGTGGGATTTAACTGAAGTGTAATAGCAAAATTGAATCAAGCGAATATTTCGTGAGTACAGATTTTGCACGTTTTCGACAATGTTGTTAGATTATGTTAACATATCAAAATGCAGAAATCGATCAAGAATCGAAATTGACATTACTCAATTCTTTGATCTAATATTCATTTAATCTTCTGGTTTAAGAGTTGACCATTTTAAACTTTCTGGCCATGTAACGATTGATTGTTACCCTTTTAAAACGATTAGCTCATTACACCAGCAATTTCATCTCTTCCCAAGTTGGAGATTGTGGAAATATTTTAATCATTATAAATTGGTTAAACCAGTTAGTACAAACACCAGTTAGGACACTTATTGAACCTTTGACAACTATTGCTCCTTTACAGGTAAGGTTAAAACTTTGTCAGGCGTTCACTTGTTGGTTAAATAATTTATAACTTCTTTATAAAAGTTTGGTCTTATCAACAGAGCATTTAATCACAGCTTTAGCAGCTTCAGTTCAGAGCTAAAGAACTCTTCAGAGATTTAAAGGTAAGGGCACTGAGGTCTTCTTTTCGAGTTACATGTTTTATCACTTCGAACTGAATTCCTTGGAATCAAAAACTTAAGAGGCAGAATCAAAAACAATACTATAAAAGCATTTAGAATTGTGCTCTTGTTGTATCGTTGTCTTTTTTATCATTATCATTATTTTTTATTATTATTTACAGTTCTTTGCTTCATATTTCGATGTGTAACCCTTAGCCCATCCATTGTTTGTTTCTATGTACGTAAAAACGAGTAGGCATCAGTACAAGTTTATTTCACCGGGGAGGGGGTGGGTGGAGGGGGGCGCGTTTACGTTATAACCCTCATACTTCTTCAATTGTCCTTGAAACCAGACTTATCATAGCTGGTTGCCCCCAAAAAAATCACTTTAAGATTTATCATTTACTTATCTCATTTCTGTTATGTATGGACATTTTTCCTCTTGTTCTAAATTTTTTTCCTTTATCGTGATTTACATTCTGCTACTTTTTGTCCAGATAATTTTGCGATCGCTTGTATAAGTTTGAGTAGTTCATCTTTTTTCATTTGCGTTTGAGTTCTGAGAGAGTCAATTTCAATTACAACTAACTTGTAAGTTAATCGTGTTTTTTGTTAATGCAACCGCAAAAAGGGAAATCGTGTCATTTGAAATAAACTGGCAAGTTGAGACAATTGCCTGTTTTTGCCGCAGTAGAACTTTTTGAAAGAACCTATGAACCATGAGCTCCTGTTTCAAACGTTTTATTCTATTCTTTTCCTACCTGCATTTGCCTTTCTGCTGCTCGTCTCTTTTGAAAAACGATCTTCAATGACTTGTGAAGTTGTCTGCAAACAGTCAAGAACCCTAATTTGTCTCAAATCTTTCACTTATCCTAAACCTCATTTGGAGACCGCGAGAGGACTAGGTTCTAGTGGCGATGGGGAGGGGTTAGGTCCTAGCGCGGAAAGCTTAGCCATCTGATTCTCATCAAGTCTCTTTTGCATTAATTTTGGAGGGAGATATATAAAGGAGACTTATTCCAACCACCAATACACAGCTCACAGAGTGGTGGTTGCAAACAAAACGGATACAATTCTTGTGTTCGAATTTGCCTCTTCCAGAACAGAGTGGTAACCCAGCACCATGTAGTTCAGGCAATACCCAAGTGCAACTCGCACCCGGTAAAACGGCTAGCGGCCACAAATGGAAGTGAACAGGCTCTGTGCCTATTGGGTATGAGGAACAAAGGAAAAGAGATTGTAGACACAAGTGCCATCAGGCGTGCGAGGACGCAAAAGAGGGTGGGCCAAACTTCGAAAGGTGGCCTAACTGTACTGCTTTCTCGTCTCGGGTAGAGTCCGGAGGGGGTACGTGCCATTGCTACGGGTGGGACCACAAGCCTGAATGGTATTCTGACTCAGATTACCGCTCTGGTTGGTGCGAGGTACCATGAGAAGTGGTCGAAGCGTATGAGGTTCCAATCTTCTCCTACAAATATTTTGGCCGGTGTAATCAAGATTCTTTGTGACCAAATAAATCTGAATAATTTGCTTGGAAATTAAAATAAGGAAACTCTTTTAATGAGATAAGAACGAAGCATTTGTGTTTGATCCATGAATTCATAATTTTATAGAATCTTTCATAACCTGAGGAGGGAATTTTGTGTTAAATTGCACGCAAAAACCGATATCGCACAAATCGCGAAGTGATTAGTGCGATATCGGTTTCAAGTGCAATTTAACGCGGAATTCACGAGTCAGGTAATGGATTTTCCTTGAATCACATAATTGAATAAAAATAAGGGAAAAGGGGAAAAGCAGTGTTTATCCTGTTCGCGAAACAAGAGATGCGAAGCAGTATCACTTGGCCTCGTTTTCACTTTGCAATACCATGCTTAATACCTGGCTTCGTTAACCAATCAGAATGCGATTTTATTCAATTATGCGATTCTAGTCAAAATCAGGCACTATTTTTGAATACTTGGCGCGGGGCTGTGGAGGAGCCAATTAGTTATCGGAATTCGTTTATTGGTAGGAAGGATCCAAAATTATCTATATCATTTGTAATTTTATGTGCGGTGTGACGTATAATCTCCTCCAGAAAGAAAACAACTGAAGACAATATCAAACTATTTTATAATCATTCTTTATTCATATCGCCGTTCTTTCTCGAACGAAGCATCTTTCATTTTTTCTTACGTGGAATACATGGGATCTATGATGACGAGCAGTTGTTCGCGGTGGAAAATCCGGCAAGTGCAATGAGGTCCTCGGCGGACAAAGATGCCCATGGCACATTCCAGCCACACCGGTTGATGTAGAGGCTTTCACCGTCTATTTTACCGGTCAAGAGGTAATATTCACCTTTTTGAAGGTCTATTCCACAACCACCTATCCTTGTCAAGACATTAGTTCGTTCTTCAATGTGAACATCTGGGTTTCGACCGCTCCGAAACGGCCTCGTCACTATTCGGTCGCTTCCTTTGAATTTTTTCCAAATGGTAACTTCGTATTCTTTCTCGCTGTCCGGATCTGTAAGACCACGAGCCTCAGCTTTGATGGCTGTGAAATACAGAGAAAAGCGCGGTGTTAAACTGTTGGAAAAGAAATTGTCTCGATGGCAATTTTCTAAACATTCCGCAAAATAACAGCTGAATTATGATGACCGATTTCATTTGGTGTCCAAAAATATTTTGCAGAATAATCCATTGAGTGATATACCAAGGAGTTCTCCATTTGTATTACCTTTTTCACCTATTCTCTTACGAACCTCAGCTTGGACGGCTGTTGAATAAAGAGAAAAGTGCCGTGTTAAAATGTTGGGAAAAAATTATCTCGATGGCAATTTCCTAAACATTCCGAAAATGACAGCTGAATTATGAAGACCTATTTCCTTTAGTGTACAAAAACATTTTGCCTAATAATCCATTGAGTGATATACCAAGGAGTTCTCCATTTGTATTACCTTTTTCTTTAAGAGCGGTAAAAAGACTTCTGCGTGATCCTTCAAATTTCTACTTATCTTCGGACTTCAAGTGTCGTGATTACCTCTTAACATGATCAGCTCCTCGATTTAATGGTTCACGAAGTCGAGGCTTACAAGAAAATTGCCGTTGCCATGCCAGAGGAAACTTTGTGTAACGACAGACTCATACTTTTAAACTTCTCTTTCTACGAAGTCCTTCATTACAAATAAAGTCATAAAAATTTAAAATGCTTCAGGTAGGAAATTATACAAAGAATAGGGAGGGTTATAGAAAATTAAAGTCAAACCACAAAAGGAGACTTACTTCCTCATTTCTCTTTCATTTTAAGCGATGTGGTTCTACTTTATTTTCTGGCCAGGGATTCAAACATATCGAACCTAGTCTAGTCTACTTATGTCAATTCAGTCGCGCAGAGTTTCGTGTGGTTTCCCGGATGTATAAACAGAAGCGTGGTTGACCTGGACCCTTTATTCATAAATAGGCCATTTCCGAATTACGTTTGGCCTCTTTTTTAAAACGAGGCCTGGTGCTCAACCATACGTATGAAAATGAGTTTAATTTGCATATGAATGAAAACTTATTACAATACGAAAAGATGAACACCAGGACTCGCTTTGAAAATGAGGCTAAAGGCAATTCGGAAATGGGTTATTCCCAAGTAACTGTGAAATGTTCAGCAGGCAACCGTGGATGATACTCCTACTCTTGTACGTTGGATCAGCAATGATCTGATCGGCCCAAAATAACGAATATAAAATATAAATATAGAGGCAAGACCGATACAACGTAGATAAGTAAATTTTAAGACGGAGCACTATATTTCGGCTGGCCAAACCAGCCTTCTTCAGGTGCAGTGGGAATTAACAGAGAATTGGGCTCCCCCTTTCGCTGCTACACGTTTCATTGTAAATTAAATACGAAAATTTGATGAACGTGTTGGGTCAATATAACAGTTTAAATGTGATCAGTTTGAGTATTCTCATCACCTGTTTGCTGGATAGTGGATGTTATATCATAGCTAGAAGATACAGGTTAATCACTTTTGCGAGTTTAGGGGTTCAAAAGCAGGTAAACAAGAATGAAAACAGAAATTAATGACTGAGTGAAAATGAAATCAAAACTTTTGAATCATCGGGGTAGCTCCTCACCGAATTGATCTCTGCATAAAATCTCCCAATGGTCTGTGGTAACACAACTGCACCCCTCGCTTAGGGCCACGGCGCACAAAATCACTGTCATAAAAGACAGAATTGAAGCCATTTCCGCTGTCTTGTTCTATGGAAAAAGAGCACAAACTTTCACTGTTTGACGGAGTTAGTTGTGCGAAAGGCTGTTTCTCATAATATCTGCTTAGTGAGACTTGAAAGCCGAGCTTGTTCACTTGAGCTTGTTAATTTACCTGACTTGTTCTAGAGAACTTGACTGTAACACGTCTTAACTGATGAATCAGGATGGCAGTATGAGTTATAGACAAAATTTAAAACATGAAATTTGATAGAAGATACTTACCTCTATTGGATGTTTTTAATGTTCACTTACTTATATTACGTTCTTTGAATAAAGATAACGAAGGTAATTATTTTCAAATATTTTTTTTTTTGTTTTTTTTATTTCTTTTATTTTGCACAGAGGAAGTAGACTGTACCGATTCCATATTCTTTACCCCAGTTTTGCATTTTATTTATTATCATTTTCTCCCCATTTATTCGGCTAGGTCTGTTTAAGTAGAGCTGACCACAAGTATCTCAACAATTTTTTTTAACTTACAAAAATCTCCTTTTCGTGTATAATAAAATATGGAACTCGATCTACACTTTTCATCTATGAAAGTTATACATCTGAAACAATATACCTATTTTTTAACAAAAATTATTACATTTGTACTTCAAAACAAATCACGGAAAGGAAAACTAATTTTGAATCACATGAGTCGTCTCGGCTATAGCTCCAGTTCTAACAACGGTCTTCGTTGTCAAGACAACGATCTGTTTCTGACTAAGAAATGATTAACTCAGTGAAGACTATACATACGACTTTACTCCATTTTTCAGTCAGAGGAACATCACAAATCCACTGCAGCCTTCTCCAAAAAAATTCGGTGATAATTTTTTTGCTACGAGACCGCGGCGTCATGAAAAATAACCATTAAATCATGTTAATTTGAGTGGTTAGAGAGTAGATTTGGAACGTGCACAAACTACACGTTATTCTCCAGTTTCCACCTACGCTAATGCGTTCATTTTCAAAAGAATTCATTTTCGTTTCAAAAAAAACAGCACGGAACTAGATTAATTTATTGCCTGCTCACGCAACCATTTTCAAATTGGTTAATATCAGTAAAAAGCCTTAATATAATTTGAACGTGATACAAATCGCATGCCACATCATCGCTAGGCCTGTGAATAAAACTTATTAAAGTAGATGCAATGAAACCTTTTAAGACAAAACCTTATTTGAATAATTAAATCAACCATTATAACTCCCGTATGGGCAGTTGTTGTCAAGGCAACAATCTTTTGATGGGTTAGATTGATTATATACATCAAGAAGAGGTAAAAAGAGCAAAACAAACGACTTAAATTTTCGTTCAAAACCTTTGAAAAATCAACAATCATTTGAAGTTCTCTCGAAAACTACCGTGTTTCTTTTCGTGACGATACCGTGACGTCATCACGATTAGCGATCACATCATTTAATTGGTTGATTAGAGGGCAAGTTATTCGTTACTCAGCAGGCACCATACACGCTTACACGTTTCAAAAAAAATATCGATTTTTTTTGCCCACTTAAAAGTACACAAAAGCATATTATAGTATGGCCCGCTCACGGATTCCTTTAATTTTGGCTAATTTTTGAAAGAAAAACCTTGGGTGTGACGGAAAACAAATGAAAACCAGCTGACTTGTGTAATAACCTCGGTGCAGGGAGAAAAAGAGGCTCGTTTGATTTGTTTTGACCTGTTTTGGGCAAAGTAGCGTATCGAAATTTCTCTCAAGTATTTTTGCCACTAAGAGAGTAACGACTTTAGAGCAAATTCAATTAATTGTACGGTCAACTGGCATAATACCTCCTTCGAAAGTGATACGAAGGGAGTCAAGCAAAGCTCGACAGCGAAAGCAACGATTGTTGTTCAGGAAGAGAATAAATTTACGGAACAATTTCTCTGTACGCGCATTTTAAATTTGTGTACGTATTTTCTTGCAGATATTTTTCACATGTATTTAGGCCCAACATAGCAATTATTACAAAAATTCGCTTCTCTATTTCCTTTCTGTTTTGGCTCGGTTATGTCCCCTTGAAAGATATAAAGCCAGGGGCTTGTCCAGTTATAACTTATATACAAGAGGCCATACAGCGGCCTTCACTTGGGCTTCCTGAGTGGGAATGGAGCGATAGCGCTGTCATTACGACAGTGGAATTTGCTTGAAAATTTTTTTCCACACAAACATCTTGAGTTTTCTGCTTTTCTGTGAGTGACGTTGTAACATGTTCACTGGAATCCTATTGGGTAGATATTCGAACTCAGTTGCACAATGATTATTTGGAAGAACTTAATCATTAAGCTCTCTCTCAGTTACATTTTGACCCAAGAGAGGTAAACAGTTTCAAACTCTTCCACTGAAGTATGTTTTCAGAGCTTTGGGAAGAGACTTCGGCAATAAAAAAGTTCCATTGATAATTATTATTTGCATGCTTTTCGCTTTGAGGAAAAAGAGCTTTAATCTTAATAATAACAATATAGCGCTTATTCGCACGCGTTCTAAGCGCTTTACATCCATTGTATTACAGTATGACTTAGAAATATAAAAACGCATTTAAAAACGTGTGTTTTCAGTTTAGATTTAAAAATATCTAAACTGGGCGAAGACTTGATTTCTAAAGGTAAGGAGTTCCATAAAAAGGGAGCAGCTACTGTAAAAGATCTAAAACCATAAGACTTAACCCTTATCATGCTGAGTTCGAGTTCAGGTTACAATCCCCTAAACTGACTTTATTTTTAGTAACACACTTATACACGACAGTTGATCCTTTCATCAGCNACTGTAAAAGATCTAAAACCATAAGACTTAAGGTTCCATTTGTTTTGTTTTAAAAGAAATGCAGAAGACGAACGAAGCTTTCTATTTGGTACATAACGTTGGATCATTTCATCAATGTAGACAGGGGCAAGGCCGTTTAGAGATTTAAATGTCAAAAGAAGAATCTTGAATTGAATGCGTTCTTTAACAGGGAGCCAGTGCAGATCCATCAGGATAGGGGTTATGTGGTCGTGTTTCCGTATTCCAGTAATAAGGCGCGCAGCGGCGTTTTGAACATACTGAAGCTTTTGTAGAAGATATTTAGGCAAGCCATACGCTAGGGAGTTGCAGTAGTCCAGCTTTGAATTAACAAAAGCATGAACCAGAGTTTCAGTAGTCTTCAGAGAGATAAATCTCCTAATTCGTGCAATGTTCCTTAAGTGATAAAAAGCACTCTTGCAGGTAGAGTTGATGTGAGGCACCATCTTAACTCGCTATTTATGAAAGTTTGATGTTAGAATGCTCTAGGGCAAATTAAGAACTTCCTTTAAACCTTTTAAATCAGAATTAATCATTTATTTTCAAAGTCCGCTGTATGCATTTTAAAATACTTTTTAATTAATGCAAAACAAGGGCAATAATTCAGTCACGGAGCGAGTATTGAAAGAAAAAAAAAACGTTATAATAGGAAAATGCTTTAAGAAAATTTTTTTTGCTAGTTCCGAGAGACTGAAATACCGATGATTTAAACTAACGATTGCATCGAACTTTCTGGAACTGAAATGTTAACCAGATTAAAGTTTGTTAGTAAATATAAAGAGAATTATGATGCCAAATTAAGAAATAAATTTTTTCAAATAACGGGATTATTGAACAGAAAAACACTCAAAAGATGTCGTGGTAGGCTACGGTTACATTCCAATTAATTTGATTTTTTCTTTCTCTCTCTTTCTCCCTCTCTCTTCCCCTCTCTCTCATTTTTGCTTTTTATTTTGCTTCGACACGATCAAGTCCTCCAACTGAATGGCTTCGTTTCGTTCCGTTAGATATGGTCACCCGACTATACGATATATTTGCTTTAGTTTTCATGATGGGGTGAATAAATATGCTAAAATTATAACATTCTACAAAATTTTGCTTGAACATAATATGAAAAATGCCCATAACAGAGAGAAAATTAAAACTGTAATGAAACTGGCCAAGCTCGAATAATATTGCGAAAAAAAAAATATACAGCTTACCAAAACAACTTATCGAAAATAACTTAATTAACGTTGGCGAAATAAATATTTTACAAACCGCAGAGCTCTCGGAACAAATTGATTGAGTGGTTCTTTAACCACTTGCAAAAAGATGAAGGAGTTTATTTGATATTTTTTCTGTCTAGTGCGGTTTTCAATTTCAAAAACATGGCACTTTCTCACAGACTTGTTTTTGTCCAACAAGAAAATCGTAACAAGTTCTGGTCATAGCTAACCCAGTGTAGTGGTCATAATCTTGAAATTCCGCGACGAAATTCGAGAAACTATCTTTGAACTTCCCTTGGCGACTGCAACTTACGTCAGTAAATCCGTCAGTGGAGAGCTGATAGTTGTTGCGAACTGTTGTGATCCTACCAAGATATTATGAACAGTTTTTCGACTGCGCGGCCGAGCCACAAAGATAAAATGATTTTGCTTTTCTGTTGAACGGTTGAACACATAACCGATTTTGCTTGGTAAAACGAGAGTTATAAATCTGATAATTTTGCCGTCATAAAGCCGAAGAAACCCAGCACTATGAAATATGGAAAGTTCTCGTGATCTTACAGCCGCGTCGAGCAACAATGGCGCAGGTGACATCATTGAGGAAACTTATCCATCGGCTGATGCCGATTTAGCGTCGATAAGAAACCGTATAGCCTGTAAGACAGGTCATATACTGAACAACCTTACGTCGAGCCTATGGTACAGCTATGCACTGCTCTATTTTCAACACGTTGTTGGTATGTCCGCTGTCAGCGCTGGCATCATTTTCTTTATTTCTCAAACTTTAATGGCGGGAAGTTCGCTGGTGATTACTTTGGGCCACGACAAGCGCTTATGGAAGCCATTTTCCCCTTACGGAAGGCGAAAAGCATGGCATATTATTGGATCAGCCGGCGTGTTATTCTCGTGGCCTTTCATCTTTATACCTTGCTTGTTTTGTGAAGATCATAGCTCGAATGTTACTTTGGGGGCTTACTATCTCCTTTCTGTGGCTTTGTTTTCGATCTCTTGGCCACTAGCTGAAGACAGTTACTATTCACTTATGACAGAAATACGCGAAGAAAACGGCAAAGATACCGAAGCTTCAAGGTATGTTGGTGACAAATTATCGGGTTAATGAATATTATTTTTCAGAAAATTTTCTTTCAAATATACTTCCGACGCAGGCGTCTAAAATAACTCACGCTGTTGAAATTAAACATCACTATGTATCAGTTTATCGTAATGTTTTAATTGTTGACTGAATCGCTCGGCTGTAGCTTGAAATTCAAATTTCACTGACTTCAGCCTGGTGAATAAAACGCAGTGATCTAATTGCTAAGGCAGCATGTCAAAACATCCTCGTTCGATTTTCCTTAAGTTTTTTCCTCATCAGTTAAATCCCATTATCAACACATGATTACAATAAACAATTGTAAACTCATTTATGTTATCCAGAAACATCTTCAGGACTAATATGATTCTTTTGTATCACTCGTAAAACAAAATACATCTTGTCTGCGCATGTTCTATTCAAGCCGCCCGACCATTCCCGTCCATGCTAAACACAATGAGTTGTCCACGGAAACCGGAGCTTTTTGAAACGATCACTTAACTGGTGAATCTTTTGACGGGGAAAATATGGTGCCTACTCAGAGATTCATCTAAACGTTTCTGCATCAAATAATCGGTGTAGTGTGGACAAATACTTTCGAGTGTGGCCAGCGGACGTGTCGTGTCTTTTCCCGCCAATAGTAATTATTTTTGTGAAGGTGTAGTATGATCGTCCGGGTGAGTGTAGTCCTGAGAAGGACTGTTGTCGGTGGCAGTGATGTCACACTACGTCAGTTACTAACCAACGTTAAAGACAAAGACGAACCGAGGAACAGACAGGGAACGATTTATAAGATCAATTGTTCCGACTGCCAAGCCTCCTACATCGGTGAGACTGGCAGAAACCTCACAACAAGACTGACTGAACACAGACGGGCGACGAGGAAAGGTGATGTCAGCAATCACATTGCTGAACACCATCGACTTACCAACCACAACATTGACTGAGACTCTGCGCAATGCCTAACCTACAGCACTGACTATTTTCAACGACTGACTCTGGAAAGCTGGTTTACTAACTTAGAACAGACTCCCCTAAACAGATGTCAACAACTACCCGCCCCATACAAACGACTCATTCACGACATAAACATCACAAACGACCGAAAAAGAACAACCTAGCTTTACCGACAGACCGAAACAGACCAATCACGACCGACTTACGTCACTTGAGTCTTACAGCCAATAACATCACGGCAAAACCAACCGATCATTTCACACGAACTGGAATAAGAACATTCTACTGACAACAATCATTCACTTGACTCTGATGATGACTTCCGCACAGGTTGTCGAAACGTCAGTCACTGCCACCGACAACAGTCCTTCTCAGGACTACACTCACCCGGACGATCATACTACACCTTCACATGTTACCCCCGGGTTCAAACCATTTACTGCAGTAATTATTTTAATGTATTTCATCGTTTTCTTTGGTCACGTGGTTTTTTAGTTTTCGCAGTCAGTCACGAAATTTTAAGTTTAGCTTTGCTTTGCTTTGCTTTACTTTGCCTTTCGTTTTCTCGTCCTTTTGTGGAGTTGATTTAAGGTTTTTCGAGCTTAACTGTTGCGGTGGCACGGTTGTTTGAGTCGCGTAAGTATAGGCTGAGTATTCCGCTTGTGAAGCGCTGAATCGAGGATAATAAAGAACTACAAAGAACTAGAGGTTTGTAACTGATCTCGTGTCTGGATTTCCATATATCACAGGACGGAGTACTTTGTTTGCATTTTCAAAGTGAAGACTCCTTTTCAAAGTTATCCGGCGTAGCATTGAAGGGGCTGTAACGTTTCAAATTTCTTTGAACCCAGTTTATTTAAACTGTAATAATTTCAAATTGCATTTTCACAGATCCATCGTCCGCGTTTGCAAGGTGTGTCTCTATATCTTGCTGTGGGTCCTGCTTCAAGAGAGCACGGAAAGTAAAATGAATTCAAACGTTAGCGAACAATTTACGGTAAGTATTACTCTGATAACTAAGCGAAAACTTGATTTCAGGCTTTTTCAGCGAGACACTTATAAGATTTCGATAATGATAAGAGGTTGGTTCCCTCAGTATCTTAAGCAAAATCTATATGATATGAATTCATTTAATTCTTTAGCTTTTTGCAATTATTCTACTTCCGGTTGGCTTTGTATTCGTCTTCGCCTTCCATTTAACAGTTCTTGAGCCAAGGCCTCGAGCAGACGAAGGAAAGCCTGACGAAGGTACTTGCACATTATCTACTAAATAATAAGCTACAGAACTCTTACTGGGCGGTCTGGAACACGGAATGCATCGGTTGGCAGGCCCTCAACGCGCACGTCCGGGCATAACAACTATATTGTTATTCCCTTTGACTAGGAGGCTAATCTTTGCCAATCCCCTTCAATATTCGAACTTTACAAAAGGCTCTGTGCAAATCTCATTACCAATGAAGAACAGTCCATTTATGGCAGAAAAACGGCTGTCAATTCTACAGACCATTACTACTGCAAACATGATTGCAAACGTGATTGCAAACATGATTGCAATCATGAGTGCACGAATGAGTTTGAAACTTCGAGATTTTTTGTGAACTTAAATTCCTTGTGAGCTTTTTACGGATTTTTTATACGCACAACTAACACTGGTTAATACACCTTTGCCATAATGGCGGTGGCCGAGTGAAGACTAAAACTAGTGCATGGGGACGAGGCCACCCGGGCATGGATTTGTGCACTTGTGAGCGCTTGTCAAAAAGTTTCTGGCACAATTTATTAATCCAAAAAGCTTTATTTCTCAAAGAATCGACTACTAATATAGCTAAGGCTCAAGTTAATATGTACAATGCCATGCCACTGCTGTGTTCCTTCATGGACTACTAGGGGATATCGCGACGTAAACGGTTAAA